GACCGCTCTGAGGAGGGGAAATGAGTTGGGAATGATATTGCCTTGGAAAAGAGGTTCATCCCTCAGGATTCAGGACTCATAAATGTTTGTGTCAATAGGGAGATGCTGTAGTTCACGAAGTTGTTCCAGTCTCACCTCAAAAAGCTCGAGAAGAGATTCTGGTCCTCATATGTTGGGTTTACAGAAGCACAAAGCCTTCAACAAGACACAGTTTGTCTCCAGCCCATCACCACAACTCGAACATTAAGCATGGTTCAGACAAATACATTGGGAAATGGGTACAGCTCAGAGACTGCAAAGCCAAACGTGAAAGCAGTTTTGACCATCAACCAACAGGAGGAAATGCTGTCCTGGATATCACCCATGTTTGTCCCTATTCTGCTGACACTGGGATAGTATAGGCACAGGGTAGCAGGGTCTCACAGGGACCTTCACACTACCACTGTTAGGAGCTTGTGGTCCCTCACATCATGGAAGAAGAGATAGGACCCAGAGCATCATGTAGTGGAGAAGGAGAGGAGTCAGCTCACAACATAATCCATGTCCTCAACAGGGTAAAGCACAGGTTAACCCCATAAGGTTGGCTCTTGGACATGCTTTTGCCTACGGAGAGGAGCACTCTCACACCAACACAACAGCCTGGGAGGGTGGGAAGACCATCTCCAGCTCCTTCTGCAGGGAGATTTAGCAGCCAGGGGCAACCAGGCAATCTTATACCCACTGCCTTTCAGTCTCCCTCCATGTTGCCTATGAAACATGTTCTCCATCGTACACCCGTCTTCCCAGAGACACCAAGAGATGCCGCTTCCACCTTCCTTAGGATAACATGACAGTAACTACCCTAGGAAAGCCTGGGGCTGCTCTTTGAAATGGTGCTCAGCTGGTCCAGCACAGCCCATGCACCCAGCCTTGTACTCCCAAACCAGGCAGCAGAATGCAGACTGCTTTGTGGGAATTACCTGCCCTATGTTGGGTCTCCATCTCTGCCCAGGGATGGTCCTAGTAACTGTCCTGGACACTGCTTACCAGCACTGGTGTGACCAGAACACGGGGGTGATGGGGACAAGTTACACCTGGGGAGTTTCCAGCTGGACACAAGTGGGAATTTTTCACAATGGGAACAATAACCCGTTGGAATAACCTCCCCAGGGCAGTGGTGACTCCCCAGCGTTGGACACTGTTAAGATTGGGCTGAACAGGGTGCTGGGACATCGTGTCTAGGTCATACTTTGCCAAGAAAGGTTGGACCAGATGATCCCCGAGGTCCCTCCCAACACGGTATTCCATGATCCTGGGTTTGAACACAGCCTGGACACAAGCAATGCTATGCTGCAAACAGGGGAAACTCCTGCTGCTCCCTGAAGAGCAGTACCGGCTTCCTGGGAGCAGGTTGTGCTTTAACAACCTGAGTGGAGCATCTGGAGCTGGGTCAGAGCAGGGAGAGGTTAAAAGAGTCCCAGTAGCTACAGGTTTGGGGGGGACACCCATGGGACCGCCACTCGTGCATCGGACACATCCCAACAGCCTCTCCCCATCCCTAAGCAAGTCCTGAACACGAAAGAGCTATGGAGCAAAGGGATCGGGGGCTGCATAGAGCAGAATGGGGCGGGGGGATCCGATCCCCACCCTCTGCCCAGTCCCTGCAGGCTGAGCCAAGCGCAATTAAGCAGCAGCTAGAAACGACCGAGGCGCTAATCCGCGCTGCAGGAGCCGGCTCGGCGCTGCGGGGCATTTCTGGCACGTCCGCGGTCCTGTCGCACCCCCCCCACACACACCCCATTCCCACCTTCCCACCCCCTTCCCCACGCTCTATCCACCGCAGGCATCCCCGCTCCGTCCCACCCCATCGCACCCCCTTTGGCAGCCATCGCACCCCACCCGGAGCATCCCCAGCGCTCAGCGCGGTCCCTTCCGCAGCAGCCTGGGTCCCCTCCGCCTTACCTCAGCGGGGCATGGCCGGGGAGGGGAACGACGGGGAAAGGGGCGCTGGTGCCCGGCGCGGAGCCGCGCTGCCTCCGGCTCCGAGCGAGGCAGAGCCCGCCCTGCGCTGAGCCTCTTATGGGGGTGGAGCCGGGATGCAGCCAGAGCTGGAGCGGGGGGGTGGGAATGAGAGTGTGACACCTGCAGCACGGGCACCGCGACCGCCGGGGTCACAGAATGAACCCCAGCCTGGTTTGGGTTGGAAGGGACCTTAAAGCTCATCCAGTTCCAACCCCTGCCACGGGCAGGGACACCTTCCACTAGAGCAGCTTGCTCCAAGCCCCTGTGTCCAACCTGGCCTTGAACACTGCCAGGGATGGGGCAGCCACAGCTTCTCTGGGCACCCTGTGCCAGCGCCTCAGCACCCTCACAGGGAAGAGCTTCTGCTTAAGAGCTCATCTCAGTCTCCCCTCGGGCAGGTTAAAGCCATTCCCCTTGGCCTGGCCCTACAGGCCCTTGTCCCAAGCCCCTCTCCAGCTTTCCCGGAGCCCCTTTAGGCACTGGAGCTGCTCTCAGGTCTCCCCTTCAGGAGCCTTCTCTTCTCCAGGCTGCCCCAGCCCAGCTCTCTCAGCCTGGCTCCAGAGCAGAGCTGCTCCAGCCCTCGCATCATCTCCATGGCCTCCTCTGGCCTCGCTCCCACAGCTCCACGTCCCTCTTGTGCTGCTGCCCCAGAGCTGGATCAGGACTGCAGGGGGGTCTCCCCTTCACACAGCAGAGGGGCAGGATCCCCTCCCTGAGCTGCTGCTCACGCTGCGGGATGCACCACATGCTCTGCCCCAGACCATGGTACCCATAGAGAGCCCAGGTACAAGTTATGCTGCATTTTCAAACCTTCATTGAGCAGAGCCCTGATGGCTGCTTGGGCAAAGGGGTGGCTGGGAGGACCCCATGCAAAGAGGTCTCAGTGCTGTGGAAAGGACCATATTGAAGTCCTGTGGGATGGGGCCAGGAGCTGACAGGCATTCTGCTTTGAATGCACCAGACTGCGCTTGTAAATGTGAAAGCTGGGACAGAAAAACACTCGAGGACCAGGAAATTCAAAGCTGAGGTTTTGCCCGGAAGCTTAACTCTGACATGGTGACTCCCTGCCCAAATCTGAGCCAGTGTCTTTCCTCCTTCCTGCTGAGAAAGGTGCGGTTGGCTTTTAGCTGTGCTATGAAACATCACAAAGGGTTTTTCCTTAGGCATTTTAGGTAGTGAATGGTGCCAAAGACACCCTTTTATTTGCAGTATGATCACACAAGGTGTTTCTAGGCTCTGCTTTGGACCAAGGGGCCTGAAACCCTCCTGGGGACTGGGATGGCTGAATTTCCTGGTGATATTGCAGAACTAAGTGATGAGAGAGAACCTGCTGCCTTCAAAGCCATGCCAGGGACATGGAATGTGGGAGAAATCACAGCGCAGCCACTCTGTCCCTTATTCAGTCCTTAGAAACTCCCCACTGCTGCCCAGTCCTCTTGTGGAAGCCAGCTTTGAATAGACTCCATTGACTTCAAGCTCAAGAGATGATGTATCATAGAAAGGTTTAGGTTGGAAGGGACCTTAGAAATCATCTAGTTCCAACCTGCCTGTCAATGATCCCTGGTCCTTTTGAGCAGCAGGAGGCTCATATCCATACAGTGGGAATGTCTACGTGCATTAGGGTGGGAAACTGCAGGCTGTAGGGGATGCAAAGGAGAAATATTCCAGCATCACCATGCAACCATGGTGGGATGCCTGTTTCTCCATGGAGATGCTCTTGCAGGTCAAAGGACGCTCTGAAGTGTCAATTTACTTACCTTAACCTTAGTGAGCAGACACTGCTTGCAGACAGCGATGCTGGAGGCATGAGGAGATGCTGCAGGACCCTCGAGGAGCCTGGGCTGGATCCTGCCTGGAGCTGAGCATCACTCTACTACCTGCTGCTGGTCTCTGAACATGCACCAAGTCCCCATGTGCTGGGGTCCCACAGCAATTCCAGCAGCCTGGCCCATGCTGCCAGCCCACATCAGTGTGCACCTCATGTCACAGGGTTGGATATATAAGGCAGAAGCTCTTCCCTGTGAGGGTGCTGAGGCGCTGGCACAGGGTACCCAGAGAAGCTGTGGCTGCCCCATCCCTGGCAGTGTTCAAGGCCAGGTTGGACACAGGGGCTTGGAGCAAGCTGCTCTGGTGGAAGGGGTCCCTGCCCATGGCAGCGGTTGGGACTGGATGAGCTTTCCAACAGCAACCATTCCATGATCCTATGATTTTGTGAAGTATCAAAGCCCCATAGCTCAGCCATGTCTACTGCTCCTGACACCCTCCAGGAGGGTATTAGGATGTTTGTAAGGCCTTCCCCTGAAGAATGGTCCTTACAAGCCCTCACAGTGACGGAGGCGGAGGATTAGGATGCTCCCTTCTATGTCTAGCACTTGGTAGGCACACTTTGCCCCAGGGGACGATCCCACCCTGCAACAAGAAGTCTTTTTCCAGAAGCCTGCTCCAGGCTTTTGAGGATGGGCTGCTGAAGGACACAGCTCCTCCATGCTCCCAAGACCTGGAGCACTGGGAGTTGGAAGCTAAGATGGGAGCACGGACACAAGATCCCAGCACCAGCACTTTGGGATACAGCAGCAGCACTGGAGACTCCCAGGGACAGTGATGGGCTTTTGGCTTTTCGGATGCTCCCAATGTGCAGGCTTGTTCCGTGAGGGAAAGCCATCCACAAATCACATCCTCCTGCTGCTCTGCCCATCATATTTCCCTTTTTAGCATCCTGCAGAGCACGTGAGGCTCAAAACCCCAAGTGCCCTGCATTGTGGTGACTCTGTGGCATGGGATGCAAAGGGTTGATAGCCAAAGGAGGCCCCCCTTCCCCTCCATGCCTTTTCCTAAGTGTAACCTTGCATGAAGCCTTCATGCAGATCCCTTTGCTTCGGTCTCAAAGTCCACAGAGAGAAGAATGTGGAGTTCAGTGAATCAGGCAATGGCAAACGGCTCCGCAGAGCCACCTTGTGCCCATCAAAAGCGCTCAGGAAGAACACAAGCGATTTAAAGGCTAAAATATACACAATTTATTTATAGGAGGTTTACAGCTGTACAACCTTGGCTTCCTGGCTGGACCACGCTCTGAACCTGTGCAGCGCGACACCCCAGTGCCTTTGGGGATGAAGACAAGTCACAGCCTGCTTTAACGTGCAGACACCCCAAAGAGATGGATTCCACAGAGTGTAAAGGCAGGCTGCTTGCCACCGTTGAAATGATTAACAAAAGACATGGGAAAGAAATCATGGATATGCCCCACAGCACCTGGGAGGGACTGGGAAGTGCTTCCTGGACCTGCCCTCCTCTCAGACATCTCTTTACTTCATTCAAAGGGAAAAGGCATCAGTGTTAGGAATGGCATTTCAGTAACTGCCCTCCCTCATCTGCACTACAAACAAGGAAAGGAAGAAAGCAACAAAGGTAGTTTTTGTTATTCCATTGGAATGTAAGGGCATGAAGGCTCCTGCTCTAACTGTCCTAAAGTTTGTGGGGAAAAACAAGCATTACTGATATTAAGACATTTTGGTCCTGATATAGTGTGATTATTGTTATACATTAGAAGAAGCTGCTAAAAAGCTGCCTTTCCTCTCTTTATGGCTTGATTCTCTGGAGGAAGGAAGGAGGCTGCTCATGGGTACCAAGGCACCGCTACTCCTCAGCAAGCTTCAGTGCCGTTCCTTAGGGATCACGGTGTGGTTTGGCACATGTCAGGGCACTCCTTGCCAAATGGGTCTCCTCCACTGAAGCTCTCAGTAGCCTGATTTCCTGAGGAAACAAGGCTAATGCAGGCAGGCTGGCTATCCCCCATCTGCTGCTGATGGCGCAAAGCTCCTGTGATGGTGCTGTGATGCTCTCCTTTACCTATTCCCCCTGCCAGAAGAGCTATCTATCCCTGAAGGGTACCTACAAGGATGCTGGAGAGGGACTCTTCATCAGGGATGTAGCGACAGGACAAGGGGTGATGGGTTCAAACTGAAACAGGGGAAGTTCAGGTTGGAGATAAGGCAGAAGCTCTTCCCTGTGAGGGTGCTGAGGCGCTGGCACAGGGTGCCCAGAGAAGCTGTGGCTGCCACATCCCTGGCAGTGTTCAAGGCCAGGTTGGACATAGGGGCTTGGAGCAAGCTGCTCTAGTGGAAGGGGTCCCTGCCCGTGGCAGGGGTTGGAACTGGGTGAGCTTTAAGGTCCCTTCCAACCCAAACCAGTCCAGGATTCTCTAATTCTATGAATTTGCCCAATTTCAAGGATTTGCTTTGAGTTTTGTTTGGGTCAAAGTGTTACTTACTAAACTAGGACCGTTTTAGCCAATCCTGCAAGATGCTGAACTAAACTAAGTCCCAGCACCAGGAGCTGAAGGATGCTCAGTGCAAGCCTGTAATAACTGAGACCTGGAAAGTGCATCCTTTGGGCCACTGCTTGCCTGGGAATCAAGACCTAAAAAAGCAATTTGGTCAAAACCCCAATTCTTTACTATAGGAGGCAAAATCTGAAGATGAAGAAAGGGCCTGTACAAGTCAATGAAGCCGTACCAGCTTGCAGCACAAACATGGGCATTTAGCAGGACAAGCAGAAACCCTACTTGCTATGGCAAAAGAGGGCTTTGCTGTTCACTCGTCCTTTTCCTACCAGGATTACAGCATATGCATTCATTTCCACTTGCATGCAGTGAGTGCTTGATAGAAAATGGGAAATCCCTTAATTTGCCCCGTTTTAAAGGCACGTGAAGGAAACAAACCCAACCTAAACACCATGAGAAGCACCTGCTTTGAAACCTGCTGCAAGGCCAGCCAAGGCTTTGCTGTTGGGCTTATCTGGGATGCTTTATAAGGAGCCGGATTCTGCCACCCAGTGGAATCAAGATCAACTTCATGGCAAACGGGAGCAGACCACGGCCCTGAGGATGCGTTTGGGTTGTGCTTGTGAGACCAGCTCTAGCACTGTGTAACTCATCCTCCAGGCCAGGAGACTGGAAACGAAAGGTGAGAGATGGACACTGGTATGAATGAAACATTCCCAGCGTTTTCAGGCTGCACTGGGAGCAGCGCTCCTTTAGCACAAGCTAAAATCCCACTGTTTTACAGAGGAATTTGGGAAAGCCAGGCACTGAGAAATGATGCAGCGGTGAAGATGGAGCCCACTGAGTGAAGCTCCCCATCCCTTGGACCTGATGCTTTGGCCTTCAGAGGAATTGATCTCCCCTTATCTAAACACAGAATGGCCCCAGCACACAACCCACCCCAGCTATGGGAGTGAGCTCTTGGGATGGGGACTGCATGAAGACATGGAGACAGCAGGCACCATGGCAGTTCGAGAGGCACACACAGGAGCTGAGACCAGAACAATTCCAGTTGTCCCATCATGGTTGTTGGCATCTTTGTATCCTTCAGAGTTGCACGGGGTTGAACAATTGGCAAGACTCAAGAGGAGACAGCTTGTCCCTAAAATGATGGAGCCTTTACTCTTGTTGGCCATGTGGATTTGGGATACGGGACTGCCTTGGTGCATTCTCCTTCCAGCTGCACTAAGCAAACCCATACCCAGAGAACATCCAAAAGGTCCCAATCTCTTTTCCCACTTCTCGTGCACTGCTGTGCCTCCGAAGACAAGCACTAAAATGGCAGTTTCAGGGCAGATGACAACTCTTAAATCAAGCAGATACATCGAAGGTGCATTGAAGCAAGTTGGTGGGACCCATGGTACACGGTGGCACGTGCGTGAAGCCTGTGTAAACAAGCAGGGCATTGTGCTCTGGCCGTCAGGACACACAGCGATCCCATGGGACACACGGAGGCGATGGGGGCTGCAAGAGAGAGGATGCCAGCAGAAGGATCGTTGTGGTTCCCCAAAAAGGCACCATTTGTCAACGTTGAAAACACAAGATTGGCTCCTTTGAGTGGAATGCATGCATGGTTCATATGCACTTTGCAGATGGTAGGTAGGCTCTGTGTGTGTATATATATATATATGTATGTGTGCATGTTATATACACATATGTGGCACCAGAAGAAGAGTCCTTGAGTACTCAGACGTTGGTGAGGATGTTACTGCTGAGCAGCCTCACAGCGATGGTTCCAGGAAGATCATTTGATCTCTTGTTCCCCTTGTCCTGGAGGTGCAGTGTGTGCACTGATTGCCGGTCACTGGGGTCCCCTGTGAGCACCACTTGGCCCAAGAACTCGTCACTTATTAAGTTGTGGTTCCAGATCTGGGGAAACAAAGCAGAAACGAGGGCAGGTCTTTGAGGGGTGAAGCCAATCTTCATGCACTGGAGAAGAGAAGGGTTTATTGGGGACCTGCTCTGAGCTGGAGGCATGGAGGTGGTCAAGGTTTGGGGTTCACTCTGTGAGAGGGGTGAAGGATGTGCATTTACCCGATGCACGTGGTGGTGGGAGGTTGAGCTGCATAAACTGATGATGCTCAGCCTTGGGGGACAGACCCACTGTGGACAGCATGAGAAGAGGCAGGTAGGGCGGTTCAAGTGAAAGAGGGTCTCCATCCTTGGCTCACTGTTACCTGAACAATGATGGGTTGTCCTGGCTTCTTGCGGTAGAAGAGCCCTTTCACGTCAAACTCTGGAGACACCGTGTTCTTCTTCACGGGAGAGCGAACTTTCTGCCCTTCACACTTTATGATCACGTAAGGGTCAGCTCCTGGGGAGAGAAAAGGGAATTTCTGCTTTGTTATAGCTCCTGTAATTCCTCAGAGCCCTTTTCCAGGGTTGTTATACGGCACTTTTCCTCCATAACCCAACAGAGGAGATGGGTATCTGATAAAGAGCTCATCGCACCCCAGATGATGTCCACGAAGCTCAGCTGCTGGGCTCAAGCTTACTTTTGTTAGGCAACACTGGACAACAAGTGGTGATGGACTGCTATGAAATAGCCTCTTCCTTGACCCCCATATTCTACATAAACACTCTTTCATCACTCCAATCCTCCTGACCTATGGGATAAATCTTTCATGGAAGACATCACCCTGCTCAACGCTCCTTTCAGCATTTGCCCTGCTGAAGGCAGGCAGAAAGCAAGCCATGGAGAAGAGAAACAGGCTCACAGAGGTTGTGAAAGGAAACACCAGGAAGGCAAGAGCCTTCAAGCTGCAAGAACCCACTTGCAGCATGTATACTCCCAAGCCAGCCTAACCTTGGTTTTACTTTAAGGTGATGATAGCTACCTCAGTAGGACTGTGCTTTTCACTCCAATGCGTAAATCATGGGACCATCTTACTCCTAGACTTAGTGAAACTCAAATGCTGCAGGAGCTGTCAGTATGGGTCACTTGGGGGTGCTGGTTGATGAGAAAATGAACATAAGCCGGCTTCAGTGTGTACTCGCAGTGCAGGAAGCAACCGTATCCTGGGCTGCATCAAAAGGAGCGTGACCAGCAGGTCAAAGGAGGTGATTCCTGCCCCTCTACTCTGCTCTCCTGAGACCTCATCTGGAGCATTGTGTGCAGTTCTGGTGTCCTCAACATAAAAAGGACATGGAGCTGTTGGAACAAGTCCAGAGGAGGCCACGAGGATGATCAGGGGCTGGAGCAGCTCCTGTATGGAGGCAGGCTGAGAAAGTTGGGGCTGTTGAGCCTGGAGAAGAGAAGCTGCGTGGAGACCTCAGAGCAGCTTCCAGTGTGTGAAGGGGGCTGCAAGGATGCTGGGGAGGGACTCTTCATTAGGGACTGGAGTGACAGGACAAGGCGTAACAGGTTAAAACTGAAACAGGGGAAGTTTAGATTGGATCTAAGGAAGAAGTTCTTTACTGTGAGGGTGGTGAGGCACTGGAATGGGTTGCCCAGGGAAGTTGTGAATGCTTCATCCCTGGCAGTTGGACAGAGCCTTGGGTGTCATGGTTTAGTGTGAGGTGTCCCTGCCCATGGCAGGGGGGTTGGAACTGGATGATCTTAAGGTCCCTTCCAACCCAAACTATTCTATGATTTTATGATTCTATGTGATGAGAGATGCCACAATGCTGAACCAAAACTGCCAAGATGTGCTCATTTATGAGCAAAATGAATTCATTTGGGCACTGGGAAGGTTTGGTGAGCAACCAGTGAACAGGGAGCCTTAGGATGGAAATGTATTTAAAGAGGTGAAGATGGCTCTTAAGAGTGTTTGCTATGGGCAAGAATTTGGAACTGGATGATCTTAAGGTCCTTTCCAACCCAAACTATTCCATGATTCTAATTCAGGGAGAGGATCAAAATGTCAAAAAGGATCACTGGTGGTACTGAAATAAATGGGGAAGAGAAAGATTGGGCATTGAGGGGCAACCATGGGACATAGAGTGGGAAATGGATGAGGAAGCGCGAAAGGAATGTTATTGCAATATCCTAGATGGGAAAATACAGTCATAGGGAACAAGCAGGCCACAAAGATGAAGAGTAAAGTTGCCAAGTTCACAGACTACCAGACCACAGCTGGATGGTACCTGAGCTTCCAGGAAAGGGAAAGAGCCCCTCACTAGTGATCATTTTCCCCTTAAGAAATGAGCGCTTGTTTTGGGAATTCCAATAGAGAATGAGCTATTGCTATGGGAATTTAATTCCCAGCATGAGGTATAATGGAAAGCCAAACCAGGTGGATAAGTTCTTCTCCAAGGGAAATGGGGAAATGAGGAGGAACAAACAACCCCCTTCAGAGCACCAGGGATTTAAGAACCACATCTCTGACTGCCAGACCACCTCCTTGCTTTCTGTTTGCAAGGATCTGGCTCCCTGGTGAGATGCAGCTGCTGGACTTGATAGCTGTTATTCCAAACTGGCCTTGTCACTTGGGATGTCCCAGTGAATCCTCATATTCCATCAGCCGGAGCCAAATTCCCAACTGGAAATCACTGCTTCCAAACTAGTGTGCAAAGCCTGGGCTGAGAGATGCGAGTCATGCCATTGCGCTGGAAAGCACAATGCAGGTTGCTGTTGGTGGGAGCTGAACAGCTGGAAAACAGCTGGAGAACAGCTGGAAAAAAGCCATTCCCAAGGGCTTCTGGCTGAAAAATATTGTTTTATGGCTCCAGAATCCATCTTTGTCTGCAGGAAAGATAAACCTGGTTTCTGTGAACAGTTCAGAGACCTTTGACTACAGACTTCCCTTCATTGCTAAGCTACATTGGGATGTTGTGAGTAACCCCAGGGAAAACAACCTCCCTAGGGTCAAATTCCCTTCCCAAACAGCAGACAGGATAGAAGGGCTCCCTTTGTGGCATGTGTTAAATAAGCAAATAGGGCTAATCCTTGCTCTAAGGAAGGATACTGGTCTTTACTTTCAGGGCTCTATTGATGCACAGCCCTTACAATAATGTTTGGATGAAAAAAAAGATAACTTTTTAGTTTAGATCTTTTAAATCTTAAGTTTTTGAGTTTTACACTTGAAATTTGGCTTGGAAGTGCCTGGTTAAACCTTGCCACATCCAAAATATGTCCTTGACTTAGGAAATGGAGGAGAAAGGCTTGGATCCGGTCTGTTCCCTTGGTGAAAAGGCATCTCTAATCACAACCTCTACACCCTTCATCCCTATTTCAATGATCTTCCAGTCCAAGTCTTCACTATCCCTGGGTTTCTTGGTCCCTAGGATGGACTGAGCATGGGGCTCTTGCCATGAGTTTCTATGTGGGTGCAGAACATGGTGATACATGGTGCTGCTGCTGCCTTTCATGAAACAGAAGTATTGGATGTCAAAACTGCATCAAAATGAACTTTTAGAGGACCAAGGAGGCAAAATCCAGTGCACTGTGTTAGTGGCAATTCATACAATCATAGAATAGTTTGGGTTGGCAAGGACCTTAAGATTATCCAGTTCCACCCCCCTGCCACGGGCAGGGACACCTCACACTAAACCATGGCACCCAAACTAAACCATGTCACCCAATTCAGGTCATCTCAGAGGGCTCCTAGGAGCCATGCATGGAGTGGGACTTACTGGAAACAGTAAAAAGTTCTCCATCCACAATATCCCCCAAAGAGCTAAATTTGACCTGACCTCTACTAATAGACATTTATCCAGTCTCTGGTGATGGACGCTACCCCAACACATCAGCCTGTCCCATTGCTCCTCTGTCCTTCCTACTTAAATGCCTTTATATATGATTCCTGACTTTTAAAGCTACTTATACGCAGGAAGAAAGCCTGGATTTCTACAGGACCACTGCCAAGGGCATTGGAGAAGTTTTGGAAGGATCTTCCAAGGATCTTACACAGCAGCTTAAATATAACAGCTTCCAGATCATGTCCACATTGATTCCCCACGGACTTTCTCCTCTGGTGTCTGAATCAGGCTGTTCACTGAAAAACATATCTGAGGATATAACAAATCTCAGCAACCTCTCACCTCATGAAACCACCTCCTCTTCTTCCCACTGGAACAACCACCTCCCAGCTCCCACAGGACTAGACAGGGAAAGACCAGTACCTCCTTGGGAGTCCTGATTCTTGAGCCCGGCTGCAGCAAGGACATGGATCTGGGATACCACTTGTGGGTAACCGCACATCCCACTCCAGCAGGTATGTGGTGGCTCATCCAGTGTCAGCTCTCTGCAAGGAGAGACATGTGCCCTTTGAGAGGTGCCCAGTCTTACCCCACGGGCACACCAGAGTTTGCTCTAGCAGGATGGGAGAACTATGCACTGTCTCTTCAACCGGGGTTTGGGATGCTCTCCCATGTCATGCTTAGGAGCAGAGTGGGAGCTTCTCTTCCTGTCTCTTGAAAGGAAACCAAACACCATCTCCAGGCAAGGCTATGACCAATTCCAACCAGGAAAACCACGTCCCCCAACAGTCAGCTCCTCCCCATCGCTGCTCTTGCTCCTTACCTGCAGTCTGAAGGCACATCTGTGAATATCCTGAGAAGGAACTCGCCTACATGACCGGGATCAAAAGTGGTGGGGATGATGACATAGCGACCTTCCTTCAGGTCTGTCCGCAGGAAGACACTGCGGGAGTTGATGTAAATAGAGCTGGCCACCTTCTGCTGCAGGGTGTGCATCCGGTAGTTCCTGTTCAGCTCCACCTGGGAAGACACCACAGCGGGGTGGTCAGAAGGACAGCACAACGTATGACAATGGATTTGGATCCACCCTGGGACTGACCCCACAGTGCTGGGAGAGGCACAGTTGAGGCAACCAACAAAATGGTCCCAACTGGGCTGGGTGGAAAACAAGCACGGATGTGGTTCTCCCAACTTGGTTGTCTCAGGAACTTCTTGTCTCTTGTATCTCAGCTTGACACTGGGGGCCCATCAAGGACACATAACTGTAATGGGTTTCAGCATCTGGAGGTAACAGACCATCGCTTTTAGCAAGGAGAACTTGTCCATGCTGTCGCTGTTCACCTCTGAAATCTCTACAGGGGCACACTGTGCTGAAGCACCCCAGAGGCACCCAGATAAAGCTTAAATGAGCAATACCGATGGTCATGCAGGACAGAGGTACCACTCCACCACTAACAAATGCACTGGGGTATTCAGGCCAAGATGCAGGAACCATGATCTACCTTATGGATGTCAAAACCTATGGCCAAGTTCTCTCCTTTGCCCTCTTTGCGACTGGTCCTTTTTGGCTTCTGCTGGATGGAGATCAGCACTTCATCTTCTGCCTTCTTCACATCAAATACGTACTAGGAACAAAAGAAGGAAGGTAAGGGAGGACTTCTATTAAGACAGGATCACTGGGTATGGGTGGGTGACACAGAGTAGGTTTAACCTCAGCTTCTCCTCACCCACCTCATTGCTTCGGTACCAGCCTATACCCATTCCTCTTGGGAACTGGCATCATCCTGCCAAGACCTTTTAGGCTCATCTTATAAATAGACTGGAAAATCCAGTCTCTCAATTGCTCATCAGAGTCCAAGGAGTCCAGATGTAGTCTCATACCAGAGATTTTCACCCCTTGCAGTCTGCCACAAGTCCTCCTATGAGGCATGGAAGGAGGAATTTATGCTCACAGACACCTAAGATTAAGACTAATACAGAGCTGGAAGCAGGAAACAACTGTGCCATATCCTTGATCACAATTCCTGCAATGGACTAGACCACCCTTCATCCTTCATTGTTAGATGAAGGACTTACAAGAACTTGTCTCATGTTGCTGAGAACCCCAGTTCAGAGCGGTACAGGATGGAAGAGCTTGCTCCAGGAGATGAACTTCAGAGCAGGACCTTTTTGAAGGCCAAGGAGAAGGAAATGACCCTACAGACTACACCTGCCCTGGTGAATATAATAGTGCCAAGGCTTGGGCAAAAGAACTGGAATTTGATCCTTCAGGCATCCAAACTGTTGGAAATAGCTCTGTTTGACTGGCCCCAGCTAACACTGCTACCCTGTGCCACAGCTTGCTGTTTGGTTGTGCCAAGATGCTCTACACCAGGCACTTGGATGCATTCTCCCTCATAAGAGGGACAAGGTTAACAGAGTTGGCCTGGATGCAGGTCATGCTGTGCCAGGGGTCTCAGCCAGAGAATGGTCATGAGCACATTTAATCTACCAGAGGTCTGGTAGCTGTTTTGCCCTTCTAGGTCCCTGTAGGAGATTTAAGCACTTAGAAACACGTGTAGAGGCTCCAGAAGTTCCTCTGCTCCATGACTTACCTGAGGGTTCTGCAAAAAGGTGTCTTTGTGGTTGATACAGCCTCCACAGCGGTTCTTCAAGGGGTCACTGTTTCTGGTCCATGCCCCGTGGAGCACTGCCTCCTCCCAGGTCTTGTGGATGCTCAGGTAGGACGTGTTGATGAGACGGCACTTGATGATGTCCGTGAAGTACTTGCAGAAATCCTCAAAGGTCATCCTAAGTCAGGAAAGGGTAGAGCTGGGTTATGCTGCTCCATCCCCCTCAACAGTACACTGAAGGATCATAGAATCATGGAATCAGTTGGGTTGGAAAAGACCTTTAAGCTCATCCAGTCCAACCATTACCCCAGTACTGCCAAGGCCACCACTAACCCATGACACTGAGGGCCTTGTCTACACGGTGTGTGAACACTTGCAGGATGGTGATTCCACCACTGCCCTGAGCAGCCTGTTCCAATACTTGATCACCCTATCACAGACACCCTATCATAGACAGAGACCATGTTTGAGTAGCCTCTGATGCCTGCTGAATAATGGAAGAGATGGAGATACCTTTCTCCATGTATGCAGTAAATACTTGTTCAGTTTAAACAGCAGAGTTACGTGTTTTGGAGTGGGAGAAGCAGAGGAGTGGCCCTTCCTATACACATGGGTACCTGTTATATTGAAACATATCTGGTGAGGATATTAAGTTAATCCATAACAGGTTGCAAGTACCCTGGTGAAATAGCTTGCACCCAGTGTGATACAGAGCAGCCTGCAATCCTAGGGTCATGGCCATTCAAAGCTTACACCCATGGGCTCAGAGAGGAAGCATCACTAAACATCCTAGAGCTTGGAAGGCGGTTTGTTCTTCATAGCTGTATCTATGGAAATGACTCACGTGCTTCCCTGGGAGGACTTTGTAGGTATGGCCCATGGCAACAACCCCAGGAGGGACTCACCAGAACTCTCCATCGTCTTCCACCGTCATCCCCATCTTCTCTCTTTCACTTTTACTCACTTTCTGCCACTCCTCAGAGCTGTGGGAAGAGTTCAGGATCATTACTGTGAGGGCAAGGGCACACACAGGAATTCAAGGGCCTACTTGGCCTCAGCAGACCTGTCGAGGGCACAAGGTCTATATAAACCAGTTCCCTCCTACAGGCTCTGGTTAGCTCATCTTTCAAACGTGGGGGGAGTGCAGCATGGTTTGGAGATTCCTAACCAGTGGATCTGAATCCAGCTTGGCAAGACTTTGTTTGGCCAGTACAATCACAACCCTATCAACGAAGATAACGAACTGAACCCTTGACAAAGGCTCTGGTTACACCAGCCCTTGGTTCTTCATCCCATCCAGACACCACAGCAGTCAGTGGTGGCAGAGATTGATTCTGTTGGGTGCTATTTTTGCTGGAACAAGACAGGGAGCAGAAAGGTGAGCTATAATCATCCTTCACTAGTGCGAATATAGAGTACTACATGATTGCAATTCCACCACAACACCCACCAGAGCACTAATGAGAAGGTTTGTCAAGCTCAACCACCCTTCTGCTGACCTCCAAGACCCCAAGGCAAAGAATGAATCTACCCTAGTGAAACAGTAGGTTTAGGACATGGGTTGAAGCAGTATCCCATACGAGGTTATCCTATAGGTGTGGATGTAGTCAAATTGTCTCATGGGACAGCCTTGCTCCCATCCAGCTCCCATCCATCCACTTTTCCCCCTGAACAGAGGCACTGCTGGTCCCCATCCTAACTCACGTGTCACTCCAAGGGCCATTCCACTCCCGCTCGCCCCACGGGTTGCGCATGCGGATCATGTCCAGCTTCTCTGACTTGAAGAAGGACAGGAGGCCATGGCCCAGGCGCACCTTCCGCACGTCCGTCACCGCGTACGCGTGGCCCTTCACCAGTCCACAGGCCAGGCGGGCCTCCATGTCTGCTGCTGAGGTGGCCTGGGCAGGGAGATACAGACACTGTACCAGGGGGATGTGAATGCATGGGGCTTGGAGCAAGCTGCTCTAGTGGAAGGTGTCCCTGCCCATGGCAGGGGTTGGAACTGGATGAGCTTTAAGGCCCTTTCCAACCCAAACCAGTCTGGGATTCTATAATTTCAGGTGCTAAATCCTTCCTGGTTTCCATCTGCTGCATGAGGCCTCTGAGCTCTCGTAGCGTTAACCAATAGATTTCATTCTAGTGGTTATAATGGGAGGTTTGGCACCCAGTGTTTGTGGAGATGGCTACAGGCAGACACCAAAACACCTTCCTCTGGGAGCAAATCCCCTCCTAACATCTGAAGAGTGATGGAATGAATCTAGGTTCTTCAACACATGAATAAGGGTGGGCATCCAGGCTTGACTCCTTTTGCCATCCATAAGAAGTAGGGACCCTTGGCCATAATTTATCTGACCTAATTCAGAAGTCTCCCACAGTATAAGACCACTCAAATCCCATGAGACCCTGACAATACAAGTAACATTGCTTACTTTGATGGAGCAGCTGATGAGGCCTCCCCGGTTGTGCACCTTCAACACGCGCTCAAAGAGGAGGTTTCGCTTGGCTTCATCAGCAATGTAGTCCCCTTCGGTCAGGTCAATAGGTTCAGACACCCCACCAGTGAAGTCCACCAGGGCATCAGCTGTGTTGCCTCCATCCAGGGCCTCGTAACAGCCTGACAACCTGAAACAGAGTGACAGGGATGGCATGACAACACTGCATTGACATTTGAAGGGGTTTGGGACAGTTCCTGGGGCAGGCTGGAGAAGAGAGATCTGTAATAAAACTTCCAGTGGGTGAAGATAGTAAAGTAGGGTAAAAACGTAAGACCCATGCTGCATGCAGCACTCTTGCTGTCATGGGACGAATAGGAACTTGAAATCTCTAGGATAGGTATTACTTAGACCAATGTGGAATTGGAAGATCTTTTGCTACAAAAAAGGCTTTTTCCTCACAATCTTTGTCTGTTTGAGATATGTCCTACTTCCCTTCAGGAAACCTGTTGTTTCCATTGGTGCAAACCAACTGGTGAACGAACAGAGATGAAAACCAGGGCACCCAGGTCCCAGTTTGTCCTGCAGCCACCCAGATACCTACTTGGCATAAGCTTTCTCCACCAAGGCACACCAGAACTCGTTCTTGGAGTTGGAGTGGCAGTAGATGAGCTGGTTGTGGAGTGTGGGCAGGCGGTCATCGATCACCACATCCAGCCACTGACCGAAACGCCAGAACTGGAAGTGGAAGATCCCCACATAGTTCTCGGGTTTCTCAGCATTCCATTCCTGCTCCTTCCAGTCTGGGATGACCTGCAAGAGAGGAGGCACGTGCACCTTGGTGGACTTGACTCTCATTCTGGAACTAACACAGGCAATATAGAATCATAGAATAGTTTGGGTTGGAAAGGACCTTAAGATCATCAAGTTGCAAGCCCCTGCCATGGACAGGGACACGTCACACTAGACCATGTCACCCAAGGCTCTGTCCAACCTGGCCTTGAACACTGCCAGGGACGGAGCATTCACAGCTTCCTTAGGCAACCCATTCCAGTGCCTCAGCACCCTCACAGGGAAGAACTTCCTCCTTATATCCAATCTAAACTTCCCCTGTTTCAGTTTGACCCCATCACCCCTTGCCCTATCACTGCAGTCCCTGATGAAGGGTCCCTCCCCAGCATCCTTGTAGGCCCCAATATCAAAGAGAAGGAAAAGTATGAGTTGGATGGACTTGCTTACATCTTACTGGGGACAGGTTTTGGACCTGGTTCCTCCAATGCAGGCTAGATTAACGTGTACTGGAATAGCTTAGACTTCATCTCACTTTGGAAGATGGGGGTAAAGATCCTTGCTCCTCTTTCTTACAACTCTACCCTGGACATCTGCTGCCATCTACAGCTGCAGACAGGCTATTGGAGCAGAGGGTCCTTGGTCTGACCAGGGATGGTTATTTTGATGACCACATTTTTGTTAACTGTATTGTCAGTAGGGTACCATTAAGTGAAGGCACCTTCTTTGATGCTGTCACTTGATTCTGGTGTGACTTGCAGGGCCCAAGAGTAAGTGTTGTGTGCATCTACCTGTTGGCAATGAACAGAGACCAGACACACTGTGTACATATACCCTGCTAAAGTGGGAAAAGCAACATTCTCATCCCCACAACGTCTCCATTCTTCCCTATCAAGAGCTACCATATTCATCCAAGGATGGGGAAAAGAGAGCCTGGATGGAAGGAAACCCTAGAGCAGCTGAGGGGCTGAAGGAGTGGGGGTTTGGTGTCACTGCCATCTGCACTGCCAGTGGGACAGGCACGAGCAAGGGGTAACAAAGTCCACAGTCCTTCCTGGCTTCAGGCACCACCAGCTTTGCTTTGGATGGAAAATCCACCCAAAAGATGGGACAGAAATGGGCACAGCCGTGCGCAGATGCTCCATATAGAAGGATCAGTATTTTATCTAGAGTCAGGACATAGAAGCACACAGTCAGGAACTGCCCCACCACAGTTTAGCTCTTGTTGAGGGTGAAGGCAACGTGGCTTCACTTCATGGCCAGGGTGGGCTGTGAGGCCGTGTGTTGATAAAGCAGTCGATAGTTGACAAGTCCTGACCCACTCAGCTGCATTAACGTGACCAACTGTCCACACCTTTGCTTTTTACCTGCTCCCAAAGCATCACGACCTGAGCAAGGAACAATCCCAACGTTCCTAAAGGGAAAATTATGTTCCAATACACCAAATAACCACTGTCCTGTGGAGACAGCTGTGGGTATTAGAGTGAGATAGGTCAGGACACAGCTATACTGCATGGTAAAAGGCTCTTCAGAAAGCCCTGTGCCACGGTGAGACCCCATTCATTGTGCCTTGGTCCTGGTCTAGCTGCCAGAGCCTTTGGCTTTTATCTTCTGGCTGCTGTCACAAAGCCATGACCCTGCAGATATGTTTCTCTCTGGAGAGCTCACTGACTCCTTAACTACCAGCAACAATCCAGCCCAAAGCTTTTAAGGCTCCTATGCTGCAATATTAATGATGCCCTCACTCACTGGCACTCCTGAGCTGCCTGGATCAATGGAAGAAGAGCAGACAGAGCCATGGAAAAGAGCTGCTTTTGGAGGGTTTGGTGTTTTCCAGGAGTGTTAACAACCATGTCCCAGACTCCCGATGGGAGAGTGCCAGGCATGGTCAGACAAGCTTCCGTCAGTCCCCATCGATTCCCTCCTGACTGGAGCTCATCCTAATGAATTGTCCTAGAGGACCATCGTGCTAATCAATTTGCTATTAATGTGGGCTTAGAAATGATGATGGCATTGATTAGAGGCAGCAGGGCCAGCTTCCAGCTGGCTGGGTCTGAGGCTTGCCACTACTGTCAGTGGTGGCAGGAGACAGCGGTCCCCATCATCATCCTCTTGAAGGCAGCAGAAGTGGTTGGACCACTAGACCAGGATCCAAGACTGGATGTACTTCCACACCAACCCAAGGAGAATGAGAGGAGCTTGATCTCTAGAGTCCAACCTGTCCTCAGCATCCCAAAGGGCAACGTGTGAGCTCATACACCAGGTTTCTCCCCCAGAGCACAGCATCCCACCCAGGCCAAGGATCCCTCCTGTTGCTTACCCTCTGGCCGAGGCGTCTGTGACTCCCTTGGCTGTATGGGAGAGGTGGCAGTGCTGGATGTGGTGCCTATTGGGACCCCACACTTCAAGGCATAGAGCACAACCCCTGCCTGTGACCTGACACTGCATGTTACCTGGAGGATTAACATGGGGCACATCCACAAACCCCAGCAGTAGCTGGACCCCTCATGGAGATCATCATGCAACTGAGGTCCACAGCTCCCATCCACCCCCAGGAAACCTCCTCAGGCATCTCCATCCCTCCCCAGTGGATGCTGGAGAACATGCCATGGACCACCCATCCCAGGATCCCACTGAGTCCCAGACTCGACTCGGTTGGGTGACACTGAGGCAGTGGATATATTGGTCCCCATCATTCTCATTCACCCAACTGTGCTTTTTGCTTAGGGGTTCACAAAATCTAGAGCTGTGACACCCTTCAATGGGACAAATTTACAGTGAAAGGGGTCAGAAATAGGTAAGTTGGCCGCCCAGAAACAGCTATGATCTTGGGAAAAGGTCCCTGCTTAGAAGGAGGACTTGGTAGATGCTGATTTCTCCAAGCAGGGGCTCTTCTGCTGGGAACTTGCCAGCTCAGGAAGAGGAGGAAAAGACCCTACTGTGCCAATCTGCTGAACCATGGATAAATCCCTTTGGGAGATGGGGCAGTGGTGTATCTGAAAGCCTTTATGGGATGCTGAAACTGTGTAGGGAGAGTTCCAGTGGCTGGTATAAGATCATCTTCCCTGCAGCAGAGGGGTGATCACAGTGCCCCGCTCACCTCCCAGCTCTCATGGAAAGGAAGATCCACCTGAGGACCATTTCCCTTCAAACCCCTCCCAAACCACACAAACCTGTTAAATGCTCCATTAAGCCTCTCGCACCAAGAAAAACAGAAGGTAAATGTTCATTTTACTGTTTACAGGAGATGAAAAGGTGCTCAGAAATACCAACAGTGAGTTTGAAATTGGTGGTTGGTGCTTTATTGTGTGCAGGATTAGGATAAGACATGCACAGCCTCAGTCCTTAAGGGGAACCCTGTTCATTAGGCTTTTATTTACTATGGTACATCAATACCCAAGGAGGTATCTGCAGCAAGAACTCTACCCCAGCAACCAGAAGCATAGCAATGGCATAGCGAGAGACCTGTAATGCAAAAACCCCTTGGGATGTTGGAAGTGGCTCCTGCTATTGGGTCTAATGTGGTTTGTAGTCTGGGATATACAAGCAAGGTCTCCTATGGGAAAGTCTGCCAGGATCCTAGAAGTGGGTTTGGCCCATACTGGGTCCATGCTATGGCCAAGCAGAATCCCAGACTGGTTTGGGTTGGAAGGGACCTTAAAACTCATCCAGCTCCAACCCCTGCCACGGGCAGGGACCCCTTCCACTAGAGCAGCTTGCTCCAAGCCCCTGTGTCCAACCTGGCTTTGAGCACTGCCAGGGATGGGATACATCCAGTTTTATCTCTCCTCACTGAGTCCAGCATTGCTTGGGGTCTAAATGAAGACATCAGTTTCTCCAGCAATGTCCATGGCTGTGTGACTCAGTGGTTGCTGAGCTTTGGTTGTGGGTAAGGCTCAAAGCTCCCACCGTCTCAGCTAGTAACTGATCTTCCTCCTTCCCTTCTCCTTTCTGCCTGGATTAGCTTGTGCTCATCATTTTACACCTTATTGCTGTGTTGAGGAGGGCATGGAGCCTGCATCTCTGGAGGCTTTGAAGAGGTTGGACTCTGTTGGGGACAGTCCACTTAAGTCAGGCCATGGGTACAAAATCCCACCACTGCCCTCTCTCTACACACCTCAGGATAATGTGAGGCCATACCTTGAGGAGCACTCACCCACACTGGAGTGCAATCCTAGCAAAGAACCAATTGTAGGAATACTTGACTCTTTCAAAGGACATTTCTATCTGTGCATCTCAAGAAGCTTCACCAAGCTCAGCAGCTGTAGTGGGTAGGAGACAGCAGCAGCAGGCTCCTGCTCTGTGGTTTGCAATGTGCCCTGCAGCATCCTGGCTCTCTAAATGCTTCAGAATAAACCTATTCATGGGTGCTTTAAGGCCACAGCAATGCACAGATTGCTTTTGCTGCAGGGCAGTCACTGCTGGCTCAGACCTACAGCCTGCTCCGAGCTGCTGCACACACAGGAATGCCTGCTCCAACCCATCTGAGGACCAACAGTGTCCAGGCAGCCCGAGGTGAGCAAGGTGCTGCAGTACATCTCCCCACAGTGACCCCCAGCCAGAAATGGTGGTGGCTGTCAGAGAAAGGGTGCTCCAGCCCCCCTGCACCGGTTTCTCCAGTGGGTTTGGCATCTGCAGAGCACAGCGTGTCCAAATGTACTGCAGCTTCACGGCAAGCTGGTCCTCCACGGGACTGGTCTTCAGAGACACCAAGCAGCCTCAGTCGCAGCATTCAGCATCCTTGCAAGGAGAAGCAGTGCATCTCACACAAGCCTTTCCTTTGTAATAGGTAGGATGGAAACTGGAAGCCAGGGCTCTCTCCAGGCTGTCTCTCCTGTTCCTAGGATGGCAATTCCATGTTTTTCCATCAGGTTTTTGCTGTGCAGTCGCCACAGTTGTAGGGCTTAAAGCAGCCTCGTATTTCCAAGCTAGCAAGACCCTGCACCAGTCAGACCTGAAGAATCCATGCTGAATTTGCACACACTAGGCAAATACAGCAGCAAGCTCATGGCCCCTTCCTCCCCATCATCCAAAGGACAGCACGTAGGGGAATGTTTCACAGGGCTGAGGGGCTCCAGAAGTGCTGTCCTTCGCTTTTTAGTGATGCCATCCCTCATAGAGAACCACATAAAAACTGAACCAGAAACCAAACTAAAAGGAATACAAAGACAAAAGCACAGCTGGAGGAGGAAGGGCAGAGCAGGAGGGGATCAGGCTTTAAAAACAATGGAGCCCTTCAGCTGAGCTGGTTCGAGGCCGTCGGTGAAAGCGAGGAGGAAATACATCACCTTACGGATGCGGGCTAACTCCGCTATCCGCTCCCCAAATTCCTGGGCATCTGCCTCATTGCATTCCACATCCTCAGCCCCTGGCTTCTTCCAGAAGATACCCACCGGCTCCAGCAGCTGCCTGTTCATAAGGTGGGTGAGATCAGGAGTCCAGTGCTGGGAAGTGCCGGTCACCGTGACCTTCCCAGGTCTTTCCAGCCGGATATCCCAGCGGAGGAAGCGCAGGTTGTGCTGCCGGATGAAATCCACTCTGTAGATGTGCTCGTTGGGATGCAGCAGCTTCTCACCATCCTGGGGCCTCCCATTCTTCTGCTGCAGGCTCTGGAATCGCAGCCTCATGCACCGGGTGAGCTGGTCATCACGGATGAAGGGCAGCTCGAGCATCCCTGCCTGCACTGCCATCACCTCGGCTGCTCCGCTGCTATGTTTGGCTCTCCGATAGGACACACAGAGGGAAAAAGCTGCCAAGCCACCTCTTCATGGCCCACTGGTGCTAAGCAACCCGGGCCAGTGACGCAGAACACCCTCCAGGGCTTCCTCTGGGTGTCTCTTTGCAGATGAGGAGCTGATGGTGCTACCGTGCATGATAATCTATAGGGAAGGGATGTCTGATGTCAGCCTCCCTGGCAACCTGCCTGACAACCACAGCTTGTTATCCCAAAATGAAGGCATGCAGCCAGGGATGATGATCTTCAAGGTCTTTTCCAACCTGGTTGATTCGGTGTGACCCAACAGGTCTGGGCAGCAGGGTTTTCTCTGTAAGAAGGATAATTCAGGTTGGAAGGAGACTCTGGAAGGGTCTGGCCCAACCTGCAGCTCAAAGCAGGACTTACTTCAAGGTTAAGTCAGGTTGCTTAGGGCTTTGTGCACTCTCTTTGAGTAGCTCCATGGATGGAGATCCTACAGACTCTCTGGGCCCTTGTTTCACTGTCTGACCATGCCCAGTGCTGAAGATAAGATACAGCTTGTGGTATTATCTTCTGTCAGGTGAATGTGCATCCCCAGCAAGAGTCTGGCTCCATCTTATCCCATACCCTTCCATTAGGTATTTGCAGACTGGTTGGATGGGGCACTGAGCAAGCTGCTCTAGTGGAAGGTGTCCCTGCCTGTGGCACGGGGTTGGAACTGGATGAGCTTTAAGGTCCCTTCAACCCAAACCATTCTATGATCATTTCTGGTCCCTCAGACATTCAGCAAGGACCAGGCTCTAATCCCAGCAGATGTGGTGTCTCCCTGGACCAAAGGGTTAATCTGCGCACTTGGCATCTTCCATTTCGCTTTAAAAGTTGCTGCTGCAGTTCACAGCCACGTTTTCTCCTTCCAATTCATCCTAAGCCCTCGAAACACCACGCAAAGTGTTAGCAAAGGGCCTGTCTAATGCACAGGTCTCCAACACCACAGCAAACTGAACATCCCTGGGAGGGAAGGCCTGGGGAGAACTGCAGCTTTGGCCAGGAAACAAGGCTTTCAGTAAGAAAGAGGAGGCAGGCAAAGAAGAGCCTCTGAGGGTTAAAGGATGGAAACTGAGAAGGCACAAACACCCACAGCCAAAGTGCCAAGGGAGGAAAAGCAATGCTGGGGGCAAACTGAAATAACGAGGTGTCCCAAGGGACCCGGCTTCTGTTTGCTTGGCGTTTCCCAAGGCAGGGCTGGAAGTGAATGGTGAGGAGGGAAGAAAATGTGCCTGCTCCCTCTTGGGAGATGTCAATGCAGAGGAAGCAGCTAAACAACCCCTGGTGCCACTACACTCACCATTTCCATGATGGGAGGACACATTATTGCTTATCCAGAGACCAACAACAGCTATCATGTTCCCATATGAAGAAAAACCTTGAGTTAAACAGACAATGGGGATGCTGCAACAAACACAAACTCATGAACTTAACGTTCATCATCCCCAAACCACACACAACAGAGACTGCAGGTACCGCAGCACGCAGAGCAGATGCGAAGGTGTAGGGTGGAGAGGCCCCTTTTAGGTCCATTGCCATCACACCAGGAGGCTGTGTGTGAAGCAGTGATGCTGTCTGCACACACTGATGGGCTTTGGGGGCTTTTTGGACTAAAATCTATGTAAAGGTGATTGCAACTTGCTGGGCTCTTGTCCTACAAGCAGGCATGCCCACACCACAGTCTGAGGCCCTCCTGCTTTTGCTTTCATAGGACTGACTTCTATAGCAGTGGACACAGTGTATTCAGGCACAGACAGTCCAAGGACATGGCACTGAGCACCTTCTTCCCTGTACCTCTGTGGTTGCTCCCTGGATCTGCAGCCCCTTGCTCTAGTGCAGCTCTTTGGTGGCTTTCTGGCCCCTAACCCAATCCCTTTGGGCACCACACTGAAGGATCCCTGCTACGAGGTGCAATCCAACCATGGGGTATGCCAGGGATGGATGCTTTAGGGAAGCAGTGCCTTGGAAAAGATGCTAATGTCCTCAAATCACTCTACTTGCTTCAGTGCAAGGTATCTCATTGCCAAGGTGGGCACACACTGAGCAGCCAAAGAGAGGTAACACCATGGGAATTAAGGAAACAGGGCCAAATGCTGCAGCGGAGCATCCCGAGTTCTGCTCTTCTTGTCTTTCAGGCGATTTTGGAGTGGCGAGGATCAGATTTGGGTTCTGGAGGAGAAGATGGGACTTGATCTACCTGGTTAAAGAGAAACTGCCCAAGGGTTTGTCTTGAGTGTGAGGTGACTGCAGTGATGACGACAAATTGCCCTTGAAGGACAGTCCTTTAAGGGAGGTTTGTGCACATGAACCGTGCTGGGGACTTGAGGCATCCCTGAGGCCAAACACATTGCAAAGCCAAGGTGTTAAAGACAGGCATTCCCCTGCCATGGGGAATCACTTACCTTCTGCCACAGCGACTCCCGGGATGCCAGGGAGGAGCAGGCAGCCACGAACCAGCAGTTCCCAACCTGCCCTTGGTGTAAGTCATGGGAGCTGATCCCGTCCACAAAGAGGTGTGGATCATTGCAGATTTCCTGCGGGGCAGAACAGAAACAGACACACTGAGTAAAGGAGGAGACAGGGAAACCAGGATCCAGGCTTCTTGGCAAAGGAAAATCTATCCCTCTCTTCCTCAGGCTCCATTTAAACCTGCAGCTTTCTGCTGGCCTCTCTCATCATGCTCGGTGGCAGGAGGACCTTGTCCTGCCTTCTGCTCTCACCAGGACATGGGCAGCATCATTGCTGGAGCGACACCAGACCTATTCCCTGTTCCATTCCAGCATCAGCACAGCTTTGCTATAACTATCCCTGGTGTAATGGTGCATTTTCAAACCATTCCAGCCCTTCTTCTAAATCCACTCTGTTATTCCCTATAAGCCCCTCAGCTCTCTCTTTCCAGTGAGTGCTTTACAAGCTTCTCCCTCTCCTATTTTACTCTGGAGAGCATCACTCAAACCCACCATCTCCCATATTGGAACTTGTGGATCCATCCGAAACTAAAACCACGCAGAAGGGCAGAGCCAGGCATTCAGATGAGGAATCACAGTGCCTAAATCAGACCACGCACCCAGGAAAGCTCAACACACATTGAGGGCTCAGCCTTGGTTGCAAGAAGACAAGTATCCTCACCCCGGACCTTCCAGGTCTTAGCACAGCAGATGGGGAGAATTTGGTGAGCTAAAAGCTTTGTAGCTGGGCCAGGATGGTTAAATGCTCACTGTGACCCCCAAAGCAGGATGGTGGATAGCGCATGGGCACCACGAATGGAGAAGTTTGGGGAGGAGGTAGCTAAGAGCTGGGTTCATCCCTCCAACCATTAAGGCACCAACCACATCCCTGTTACTCCACTCAGCTCCTGCCAGGCTGCCCTCCCTTCCCACTCCCACTTAGAGCCTGGCCAAGAAAGCACTAAGATAACAGAGGGTATTGAGCAAGCTTCAGGTGAAACACTGCTTCTTTTAAGCTTTTCTTCTTATCAGCCCATGTTGGAAGGTCCTGTATGGCTGGAGGCTGGGAGCAGATGGGTTCCCCTTTGTTATTACACTTCATTGGATGGGGGGGGGGGGGGGAAAGAAAAGCAGATTTCCCTTCTGCTCCCAGGTTTTCAGGCTGATTGCACCCAGAATAACATGTTCCCCCCAAACTGTGCACATGGGGATTTGTATTGCCACTGCCCATCACGGGGGGGGGGATCAGGAACTGCTGCCTCATAAGCACCTCCTGCTATTCCCACCTAATCCAGCCAGCACCATACACCTGAAAAAGAACCAGAGCTCCATCCGGATGCAGACAGAACAGGGATGAAACCCAAGGGAGAGGAGTAATCCCCTCCCAGCTGCAGGAGGTCGGGATAAGCACTAGAGGGAGGTAAACTGTCAGCCAGCAAAGGCGAAAGCTGCCTGCGCTTCCCAGCGCTTCCCAGCATCCGAGTGCTGACAGGGATGGGAGAGCAGTAGTGGGGTTTAGCTCCTGCTTCACACCACCGAGGAAGCTCCCAGCAGCAGGGGATGCATCCCTCCTGTGTGTTGGGGATGGGGATGTCCGCAAGATCAGTGCTCAGTGATCCTGTTCTGGGTGGCAGAGGCACTGGGTTTGCCCCATCTGAGGACCACGGCTGCCCTTTCTACCTTTAGGTGAATCTGCAGTGTAGAAAAAGGATGTTGCTTGGTATTAGATCAACAAGGGAGAACATGAAAGCATGAAGAACACATCCTGCTTGGCAGAAAGCATAGGGTAAAGCATGTCGGATGTTCAGGGCCCTTCTCCCAGAGCAGAGCTGCAGTTAGCTGTGATTTCCCCATCACCAGGAAAGACTTTGCAAACTAAAACCCTCTGATTGCTCATTTACTAGAGGGAAGCCCTTTGTAATCATCAAAAGAGCAGCCTGCATTGACAGACAAGGGGTAGAACCATTAGAACCTACTCTTCCACCCATGGCAGCAATGAAGGTGCTATGGCTGGAAACACTCATCAGGGGCAGGCTCCCTCTGCCAATCACAGCCCTCATTTCCCTCAGCTCCTCTTCTCACTACCCCAGATGGGACCCTAAGGGCATATTGCTCTTGAAGGATTCACTCAGGCAGCTCTTCAGATGCTGCAGTAGGTGCTTCCCATTCAGGTACACACTTGGATGTGGCATTTTAAAGTGCTTTTGGTCCAGTACAGCCCTTACAGAGCAAGGGACCTTCAGTAAGGCTGCAGTGCCCACAGGGCTGCATGCACTACATTGGGCCTTGATTCAGCACCTTCAGGGTGCGAAGCACACTCAAAAGCCATGGAGCACCATGTCTACCCCGTACAGGGGTGGGTGATGAACTAGGGACCAGTGGGAAGTAGGTAAAGAAGAGCCAAGAAAAGCTGGAGAGGGGCTTGGGACAAGTGCCTGTAGGGACAGGCCAAGGGGAATGGCTTTAACCTGCCCGAGGGGAGACTGAGATGAGCTCTTAGGCAGAAGCTCTTCCCTGTGAGGGTGCTGAGGCGCTGGCACAGGGTGCCCAGAGAAGCTGTGGCTGCCCCATCCCTGGCAGTGTTCAAGGCCAGGTTGGACACAGGGGCTTGGAGCAAGCTGCTCTAGTGGAAGGGGTCCCTGCCCGTGGCAGGGGTTGGGGCTGGAGGAGCTTTAAGGTTCCTTCCAACCCAAACCAGTCTGGGATTCTAATAAAAGCACTGAACTAAGTTTTCCTTTTCCTATGGACAGAGATGTCTCATAAAGATAAAGAGCTTGTTCTGCAGCCAGACTGAATTACAATGGCTGGGGTTTGTATGTGCAAGGGAGGGGTGAAGCAGAGATGCTCTGATCACAGAAGGTCACCACCTTGGCTCCCTCCCCTCCCTCCTGTGCAGCAGACAGAAACCAGGTGAGCAATGAAGTTCACCCATGCAGGTGCTTCTCCAGCAAGCAAACACCACGTCACCCTCCCAGCACCAGGACCCCGAGAGGAAAGGGCAGCATGAACACAAACACACACCCCAAAAGGGGGCCTTTTGGGTTCAGGTATCAGCCACCACAGAACCAGCTCAAACTGCCCCTGGCACCCGAGGCTTCAGCAGGCAGTGAGTCCGTAGAATCCCAGAGTGGTTTGGGTTGAAGGGACCTTAAAGCTCATCCAGTTCCAATCCTCTGAACAGCAAAGAACAGCAGGGTAAAGCCAAAAGCCATTGCACCACCTTGGCCATGGGAGCCATCCATGCCTCTTTACCCTCAAGCAGAACCTGTCTTGGAGGACCCTAAGCACCATCAGAGATGATTTTCCCTCCCTGAAAATCGCTGCTGAAATGGCTGCTGAGCTCCAGGCAGCAAAATACAGCTTAGAGGAAGCCTGTGTGGATGGCCCTATCAAAAGATACAGCCTGATAACACAGGGAGGGCCAACCTAGTGATTCCAAGCCCTGGTGATTCATATATTCCTTCCCACATCCTTCCTCCTGCAGGGGATGTGGGACAGAGGTGGAAATCAGAGTCAGGGCTGGGAGAGGACTGTGAGGTCCCTGTGGATGAGAGGCTGATGCAGAGCTACCAGGTCTGGCTCATGGGAGCCCAGAACAGGCCAGTTTGGCTTTGGGTTATTGAAGTCCATTAAAGGGAAGAAAAAGACTCAATCAGTGCAATTATCTTGCACTTGGTGTGCTTTTGCTTCCCACCAAATAGCCTGTGGGTTTCTCCCCTTTGCTACTCTCTCCCCCCAGCACATACAAGTGCATTTAAACCTGAAAACATCACCCTCATCTTCTCCTGATAGTCCAAGTCCACCTGGGGTAGTAATGAGCAAATCACCCTTTAATTGCCTTTATAAGCGGTGACTTGCTTATCATAAACGCTTCTCAGTGCAGAACTGCGCTTCAGAGTCACTGGGGATCTGGATCGTGTCAAGCCAGCGGCAGGGAGGGAAAGAGCTAAGAGGGGAAAATAACCATGTGAGAGACAACATCTGCTGCATGCCAGGACCGTTTTCTGCTAACAAGACTTTGCAAGGAGCAGACGAGTGTAATTGCACCGCAGAGCCCAGCTGATTCAGGAGCAGTGATTTCACTCAGCCTTGCAGCATCGGCAATACAATCTATTGGTGTGGCTGTGCTTTCCCCCAGCCTGGGCAACGGGCAACTGGAAGGATGCTGGGTTTTAGATGTCATTCACACAACCCAGAGAGCAGGCGGTATCCAAACACGGTGAGCAACGGTGACGGTGCTGACACAAAGGTCTTCTTTGGCTGCTGGGAAGTGATTTTGCACCAGGGTGATAGGGAAGAGAAATAGGGTGAGGTTAGAAAAGCAGGGGTCTGTGTTTAAAGGGGGGTTATTATAGAACCATAGAATCATGGAATGGTTGGAAGGGATCTTAAAGCTCCTCCAGCTCCAACCCCTGCCACGGGCAGGGACACCTTCCACTAGAGCAGCTTGCTCCAAGCCCCTGTGTCCAACCTGGCCTTGAACACTGCCAGGGATGGGGCAGCCACAGCTTCTCTGGGCACCCTGTGCCAGCGCCTCAGCACCCTCACAGGGAAGAGCTTCTGCCTAAGAGCTCAGCTCAGTCTCCCCTCTTTCAGTTTAAAACCATTCCCCTTTGTCCTATTGCGACAGCCCCTACTAAAAATTACACACATGGAAGGGTAGGTTTGGTTGGTAACACTTGCACCCTGGACAACTGAGATGGTTTCTATTGCCTCAGCCAGACATCCTTCCTGCTAGTGCACCCATTATATCTCAATGTACACACATTCGTATCTGTTATCAGCTCCCACACCATGCACAGGGCGTTGGGCACTCCACCCACAGCAAACAGGAGTCGCTTGTAAAAGAAGGCATCACACAAATACCCTCCCCACCAACGCCATGACTCTGCTTGTGTAGCTCAGCACCACGCCGTGCCGTTTGTTTTGGCACCAGGAAGAGCGGGGGACGGTGGCAAACAAGATCTAAAGGTCAATTTGCAGGCTTAGCAGCCTTGACAAGTCCCTCTGCGGTTTTACCTTCTGCATCGCCGAGGTACAGAGGCAGCAAAGAGGTCTCTGTTAAAGCAATGAGATGGGAACAGACA